CCCAGGCTATGTCTGGTACAGGCAGGAAGAATGTATCTTCCAGTGGGATGAGTTGTCTGATTCTGGTTGCATTTCTTTAGGGGTTCACATTCTCTGGACCACATCCCAAATGATACCAGTGTCTCCAAGGTAGATGAGTTTTGTCTGGTTTTTGTTGTTGTTGTTGTTTTGTTTGGTGTTGGGGTCACACTGGCAGTGTTCAGGGATCTTTCCTGTCAGGGTTCTGGAAACCATATGTGGTGCCAAGGAGCAAACCTGGGTTTAACTCTACCCACTGTCCCATCTTTCTGGGCCAGGTTTTGATACTTGCACCTATCACCTTCTATCCTTTGTCAATTCTAGTCATTTTGACAGCAGCAAGAAGCACCAATATTTTCTATATTGTTCTGCCAATTGTTCTGCCAGGCAGAACTAGACCAAATGAGCAGCCTCAGGAGATAGCAGAATTTTGACTGTCTCTGCAGAGAGGGGCTCCAAGCGTTCCTACTTGCTCATGAATGGCCAGATTCTCTGACAAATGTCCCTATTTCCAATTTGGAAACTCATGAGAGAAAGACAAAAATGGCCTCATCAAACAGAGTGGGTGCCCATTTCCTGCCATGATGCTGCCACCCGCTGCCCTAGCCAATAGCCTCCAATGAGGGCCCACGAAGCATCCTTCATCATAGTACAAATTTCCTGCTGGTCTGTCTGCCTTTGACGCAATGGTGGTTGACCTGCCTGTGTTAAAGAGTTGTGTGGGCAGCCTTTGCTGGTCGTTGGGCAGGCAGTCTGTGTTGATTTCCATCAAACTTTCTACATGCCTGGCACCAAGTCAAGTGCCTGCCACTTACAACGCCATGAGGCTGTACCATGGATCTCACTTCTACTGTATGGTGGGAGGCAATAGTGCTCAGAGAAGCCGGGTAACATGCTCACAGTCACTGGCTGGCATAGTGTTGGGGTGTTGGCACCCATTGGAACCCCTCGGTCTTGTTCCTTTATGAATTCCCCTCATTAGCCTCTCCTCGCCTTTGTTCTTGGGGACAGGCCTCCCAAGCCATGTTCAGGGGTCTTGGGATCACTCCCAGTGGTACTGGTTGAGCATATCTGACAATTCAATGATTGTTTTGAGGGCACATAATTGTTTTGACTGAGTAGTTCTGGGGATCTCCAGGGCTACACCCAGTGGTATTTGGGGTGGGTGCTGGGAAATATGGTGCTGGAATCAAACTCTGGTTCTTGCATATGTGAGCACACAACAGATTCCTGATGTATCACCTTATGAGTTTTGAAGGAGGGAGATGGAGTCACATTTATTTATTTTTCTTTAAAAAAATAACAAAACCACTAACAAGAAGCCCAAATTCTAGACTCTGCTGCAATGCTCAGGGGTCTGAGTGATGGCTCAACTGCCTTCTTCAGGAGAGAGTCAGTGAGCTGGTGAAACTCCTACAAAAGAGGAACTTCTCTTCTCCTTGGCTAACCTCCAAGCATTTTATTCTGATTATTGATGGTGGTGGTGGTGGGTGTTCCCAAGTGATGTTCAGAAGTCACAGCACTCACACCTCCTCCCACCCAGCAATTCTCAATCAACTGGATATATGGATCAATGCAAAGGTCCGAAGAGGCAATGATTTCAGGTCTTGGAAGCTGGGGGAAGTCAGACTACTCTCCCAGGATACACTCAGTGATCCTCAGAGGACCACGCAGTGCTGGGAAATGAAACCAGATTGGGTGGAAGCTAGCTATGTGCCCTAATGGCCAGGCCCCTTAAAGCATTTTAATCTCCTCTAGGAGACCTGGGTGAGATACAGAAATTTCTAACAAGCCAACAAGGTAACAAAGTCAAACCACATGTTGTACAAACTATGGCTAAGGAAAAATTTATTTGGAACCAAAATCCTTGGTAATTTACATGCTGAAATCTATCATTCCCCTTTCCTTTAGTTTGCTTAATAAACATACCACTAAGTCTCTCTTTGAATAAGTTTGTAGTTTAGGGACAAAGGAGATCACTCAAAGTCCTGTAGCTTGTTCCTGGCATGGGAGCACCTAAATTTCTACTGCACAGTACCCAGAGCACTACTGGGCTTGGACACCATCATGTCCCTAGGTGGTATTGAATCCTCAAGGCCCACATAGCCAGGAAAATATTTTAGGGAGTAATCCCAGAGCATGGAGCACTTCTGGGGATGCCCCCCCACTCAATGTCAAATTTTTATAGTTTAATTGATTTTGATGATTGGGAAACATCTTTAGAATCATCTAATCACAAGAATAAATTGGCTTTTTGGTAATGGGTAGACTGGAACTCATCTTCCCAGAGGGACAGTGAGGTCGTGGTCTGCAAGGTAAACTGGGCAAACTGTGGCAGGGAGACAGTGGCTATTGATTGAGGGGGAAGTCTGGTGCTGGAACTCTCTGGGTTCAGGGCCAGCGATCACTCTGCACAAGGACCCTTTCTTGCCCGGATATCTGGTCTACATGGTGAAGTCTGCTTCTCGGGGTGCAGTTTCTCAGCAACAGAGCCTGTTCAGTACAGCTCTTTCATCTGTGATCATTCCCAAGCACTCATGGTCTAAGGATTCTTCTGTTAAGACTTGTCAAGCCCTGAGCCCCTATCAACTTGGGTGCCTCCTCTCTCCTATGTAGCGGTGTACTGTACATATTTAGCTGTTCTTGATTTTTGTCTATGTAATATTCCAGGTGAATCTTAAGTTTGGGGGGGTCACTGTCTATACTAAAATTTGGTCAGAGTTCTGGTTCTTTCTCTCCAGAAGATGCCCATATCCACATACACAAAGATCTGCATTTGATTGAGACTGTTAATAGACTTCTGAAGTCTGCCATGGCCATCTCTAGGGAGAGGAGGTCGTTAGGAAAAGGGAATGGTGGTTTTGAGCAGAACTGAGCATCCAAATCAAGTGAAATATCACCCCATGATTTGGGATTCCATGCTGCTTTCCTCTAGGGGCACTCTCTTGTCACATATATATATATGTGCCCATATTATATATAATATATATGCATATTATATATACATATATATGAAGAAAGAGAGAGAGAGCAAGAGCGAGAACTAGAGAGAAAACCCCTTTCTACAAAGAGTGCTAGCAGAGTGCCTCACCCCTACCTTAGGTCTTGTGGGAGATCATCTTGGGTTGACTTACGTCATGCTGACGTCCATCTGCAGCACAGTTCTGATGACCAGTGAGGCGACTGGGTATTTAGTAAGATCATGTGGACCAGCACCTGGCCTAGTCCCTGTCACATAACTGCTCATGGGAATAGGTGTCATCCCATTCTGCCCATTCAGATGGTTAAAGCCAGGTCTCCTGGCCAGAGATCTGACTCATGGAGTTCAGTGGATGCAAAGCCTGCAGGAGACCTGAATTCTATAGCCAGCATTATATGACCCCTGAACAAACTAAAACCTCTATCCCCAGGGCCTGGGGAGGTAGCTTAGTGGTTGGGTGCATGTTTTTTGTGCTTAAGGACCTGGGCTCATTCCTGGCTCCATAACAAAACAAACAAAAACAAAAAATCTGTTCCTGAGCTATTCATGTGGTTTTTGGTCATGTAACAGTGTTGTATTCATGGTCTTGTCATTATAGGAAGCAAATAAATAAATAAATAATAAAATAACCTGCTAAGAAACTATTGAACCCATGTACATAGTTCCAAAGGCTAAAAATTTAAAAATTGTTACGTTTTTGAGGACACATCTGAGAGCGATCTGTGGACCATTCATTCAGTATCAGGGACCAAACCTGGGCTTCCCACACGCAAAGCATGTGCTCAGCCTACTGAGCTATCCTCTACTCCAATGGTTTTATTATCATGTTAAAAATCAAAATAAAAAATACACAACTAAGCAGACCCCCAACACACAACCAAGGCGAAAAATAACTTTGGTGAGATTGCTGTGATGAAATCAAGACGACCAGTTTCCGGAACAGTTGTCAGCCTTCTTTAGGCCCAAGGACTTAGAAAGAGAGGCTTTGAATCCCAGCGTTTGGAGTTCCTGCCTTGGGAAGAGGAGGAGAGACAGCAGAAATCCAGAGTCCAATGTTGGCTCTTTAGAATAAAACGCAGCTAGAGGTGTGGGTGGACGCAGAACCGGTGACGACGAGGCGGGTTAGCATTTTCCCTGGGAGAGAAGCCGCGCAGCCCACTACCGCCGGGGCCTGGCTTCCCCCAAGTAACGGAATCCGCGTCTCCAGGCCAGATTTTCCCTCTAGCCATTCCCGGCCACGCACAGCCGAGCTGCGAGCGCACAGAAAGGGATGTCTTCATCGCTAACCAGGATGGAACGAGCCCGCCCGCTCCTGGAGCGCTGAGAACCGAAGGGTCCCTCCAGCGCCCGCAGCAGCCAACATGACTTGAGTGTCCCCATCCCGCGGTCGGTCCCTACTCTCCTCCGCCCCCCGCCCCATCCTTTCCGGGTGCGCGCGCACGAGCGGGCGAGCCGGGGAGCCGTGTGCCTGGCAGCCTGCGGGCGGCGGCGGCCGACAGGCTCGCGGGGAGCGGGCTGGCCAGGGGCGGCGGCGGCGGAGCTGGCGCAGCAGCGGGTCCCCTCGGGCCGCGCCCCGCCCTGCGCCGCCACCTGCGCGTCCCCTCCCGGCTGCCCAGCCCCGGGGCCGCGGGGGCTGTGGGTGTCGCATCGGCGGAGTCACCGCGTCCGCCAGTTTGGAGAGCGGGCGTGGGGCTCCCGGGGGCGCGGGACGAGCCCGTGCAGCCCCGCGAAGGGGACGCCGGCGTGCGTCCCTCCCCGCCGCGCACCCCGCGACGATCGGGGCGGGGAAGAGAGAAACTGCTGTGACTTTTGAGGTCCGACTCCTCCTCCGGGCCGGCCTCCCCACCTCCCCCCGCGGGGAGCGGGGCCAGCGCGCCGGGCAGGCCCCGAAGGCTCGCTGCGTGCTGTCGGCACTTGGAACGTGTCCGGGAGCCCGCGGCGCCGTGCGCGCTGGTGAGTTGGGCGCCGGGTGGGGTGTCCCCCACGGCCGGGAGGGGCGGGGCGGGGAGGACGTCGCGCTCGGCTCCTCCGCCCGCCCACTCGGGCTGCCCCCACTTTGGGAGTAATTGAGACTTGAGCGTGACTGCGGAGCCGCGAGGATGCGGGCGCCGGGCGCGGGCGTCCCCGCCGGCCCGAGTGATGGAGTGGGTCGGTGAGCCGAACAAAGGCGCCCGCCCCGGGGACTCGGTCCTTGGCTGAAGACCGCCGGCCGCGTGCCGCGACGACCGCCCGCCCACTAGGGTGGTGGCTGTGCGGCCCGGGGAGCGGCGCGCTCCTCCGCGGGGCGGGTGGCGAACCCAGAGGCGGGCACCTGCGCGCCGCTCCCGCCCCAGCCCCGGGGCGACCCGCCTGCTGGCCCGCAGGTCCCAGAGGTCCGTTGAGCTCACGGCCGGCGGCCGGGCTCCAGCGGCGAGCCACTTGCCGGTGCAGAGACCCCCAGCCCTTCGTCCGAAGCCGCACGCCGTGGACTGAGGAGCACTTGTGCAGAGCCCGGGCTCGAGCGAGCGGTCCCCCCGCGCCCCAGACCTTTCCGTCCTCCTCGCCGTCTCCGCCGCCCGCGCACCCGCGCGCTGGGCCGGGCTCCCCGCCGGCCGCCCGGAGAGTGAGGCTCGCACAGCCCCCGGGTGCCCCGCGTGTCGCCGGAGCCCGAGGGGCGCGGGTCCGGGGCTGGGGCCGGCCGGGCGTGTTTGATGGCTTCACTGAGAAGAGTCAAAGTGCTGCTGGTGTTGAACTTGATTGCGGTGGCCGGCTTCGTGATCTTCCTGGCCAAGTGCCGGCCCATCGCCGTGCGCAGCGGAGACACCTTCCACGAGATTCGGCCGCGCGCCGAGCCGGCCAACCTCAGCGCGCACAGCGCCAGCCCCATCCAGGATGCGGTGCTGAAGCGCCTCTCGCTGCTGGAGGACATCGTCTACCGGCAGCTGAATGGTAAGGACGCGCACCACGCACCCGCGGGCGCCTCCGGGGTTGGGGAAAGCGGGAGAAGCCCAGGGGTCCTGCACGCTGTGTTGCGGGGAGCCGCACCTCCAGGCTTCAGCGCTCTCCTTTTGCCTCGGCCATGGGGCGGGGGAGGGTGGAAATTACTCTCCCTGTTTCCCTGTGCCCCAGCTGTAAGTTTGCTTTAATCGTGGAAACCCGACAGTCCTCGCGTGCAGGAAGGAGGCATTGCTTGGCAACTCCAGCCCAAGCGCAGCAACTAGTTGCGAGGTCCAATGGGACTGAAGGGAAGGCATACTAGGGGCAGGGAGCAGTTACGGATTGTCTTTGTGGGGTCCTGGTGGGGGACCTCACATGACCATAGGCCTGGGATCTGGAGCCACGTGTCCCTGGAAGGAAGTTGAATGGTTGTGCCACCTTGCTGCACGGGGGGCAAGTGAGAATCCCGCTCCCTGCAGTCTGATTGGGGTTGCTATTAAAAACACACACCAGGTTTCTCCCCAGGCGCTGCCTAAGGGCAATTAAAGTTCAGCCTGCGCTGGTGAAGCAGTTTTCCCACTGGAGCCTCAGGAGGGGTGCCACCCAGTTCATGCCAGGTCTGGCTCTTAAAATAGTCTTCAGTGCTTCAGGAGAGGGGCCTTCTATATGCCCTGGGCACAGCTGGGGCAGGGGATCTAGGACCCTCACTGGCTCCAAGGTCCCCTGGGGCAGCTCCATGACAGACACTTTCCTTCCAAGCGCCTCACTCATGTGCCCTGGCAGTCTGTTCAGATGTGAAGAGACATGTATGCATACTTAGGTACATTTGTTTGATAACAATCATCAGTGGGATTCTTACTGTGGGCAGCGACTTTATATGTGCTCGGTCGCATCACGTGCAACAAGTCAGTGGAACAAACCCAGCTGGGGGAGGTGGAATGAGATGCCCGTGGCCTGCAGCTGTACAGGCTAGCCTAGGCTCCCATGGCCAGTTGGCTGCAGAGCCTGTGCTCTAGACCAGCCTTTCCCAATGGTGGCCCTCGGGACATGCCAATGGAGCCACTGCTGAAATCTCATAAGTGGGCAGGGTGTGGGCAGGAAGGTTGCAAGGTGCCGAGGTCAGTCGGAATCAACGTATATCTCCTTTCTGAACCTCCTTTCCTTTCTGTGACCCACGTGTCCTACCAGTTGGCCTCCTACTCTCCTTCTGTGCCCCTCGTAGGCCATTTTTACCTGGAGCCTCCTTGGAATATTCTCAGGGTGCATGGGAGTTCACTTGGACCCCGGTTGAGAAATGCTGGTCTAGGAACTGGAGAGGTAGCATGGCTGTTGGGGTGCTAGCTTTGTATGTGGTTGTCCTGGGCTTGATCCCTGACACCCCATTATGGTATCTTGAGCCCCTCTAGGAGTGAGCACTGCTGGGTTGGGCTCAAAAGAAAAAAGAGGAGAGACAGAGAAAGTAATGTGAGCCTAGAGCACTTCTGTCTACTGTATCCTCTTAATGCCAGCCAGGGTGGATGACCATGGATGTGCCCAGCTGCAGCTGAAGGCTGGGACCCATTCTCCATTAGAAGGAGGGGGCTCAGCGTGGCTCTCGGGGTATTGGACTGGGCTGTTGGCAGGAAGAAGGGCACTAGCTCGAGTGGTCTCTGCCTGCTCTCTGCAGATCCTGTTGGGATTCTTTTGGGAGAACTGCGGGGGGTGGGGAGTGTGACCAGGTCTCTGTGCTCCCCCTGGACACCCCAGTCTTCTCAGTGTTGCTTAACAAGTGCCAGGGGAGATGAGCCAGGCCTGGGTAGAAGCTTCAAACTGGCACACGCACACGGTGTGGCCCGTGGGGGTCCTGAGGAGCAATTCCCCCTTCCGAAGTGTTGCAACCCGATGGCACAGAGCGAAGCCAATCCTCAGCTGGGCTGCCCCTAGAAGGATGCTACTTCCCAGCCCCATGTCTCAGGTGGTGCTGAAGAACATGTGATTTTAGTGCGAGTTTCAATCGGAAAAAAAAGAAACGTGTTCCCAGTAGGAGAATGAGCTCGCACTGACTTATCAGGGCCTGAGAACCTCCTCACTCCCCATCTCTGTGCAGCCAAGCAGATGGGTGCTGGTGCTGCTCCCTGAGACACTGATGGCAGACCCCTACCCCCGCCAGAGGGCTGTGGGAAGCCAGGAACCCAACCTGGGCTGTCTGGTTCTGGAATGGGGTTCTTAGCCAGTGCGCCAGGGAGCCGCCATCCTTGGCACGTATCAGAGTCACCCCGGAAGCCTGTGGAGACAGACTTGTAGCTGGAACTAGAGTCTGTGATTCAGTCCTTCTGGGGCATGGCCCTCTGCCTGCAGTTCCCTGAGGAACTGCATTGGGCAGATGTTCCCTTGGGAAAAGCCAAGAACTTACTACAGGGTGCAGACCCGTCCCATCCCTTGTGCTCCTGTGCCGCATAAGCACATCCTTGAGGTCTGGGGGTGTGGCACTTGGGACCGGCTGGGCAAGGCTGGGGTGGGGAGGAATGGGGGATGGGCATGGCATGGCGGTCTCCTGGCAGGAAGGCGGGGTGGCCTGTATACCAGTCAGGAATGCGAGTTGCAAGTCGGCAGATGTTCTGGCCCTGGCTGCCAAGCTTAATCTGTAGTGACATGAAGCCTGGATGAAGAAGCAGGCAGGAGTGCAGGGAGGGTGAGGGGCACCCTCCTCTCTGCACCCCTACCCTGGGGTGGCGCTTTGCTGGCACTTATTTAGACAATGCGGGGCCCACTTGCTGGCCTCTTCTGGGATGCTGGCCACAGAGCAAGGTGGCAAAGGGCAGGACGTGGACGTCCCTCAGCGGTGTCCACCACCCTCACTCATGCCATGGCTTTCCTGGGGCATGCTGAGAAGGGGCTCTCTCAGCGCTGCTAGGGTAACCCAGACCCTCTTGGAAGTAGCCCTGACCCTCCTCCTGCCCTTTGAAGAGCAGTGAGGGATGGTTTGGTTTTGAACCCACTGAGAAGGTGGTTCAAAACAGATGAGTTGGTGTGCTGCCCAGGCTCTTATGCCTCTGCCAACCTCTTCCTTCCCTCAGGCCGACTGGAGGCGACTTGAGCTCAGGGCCCTGCCTCTGGCCTTTTAGCACTAAACTCTGGCAGGTGGCGGCATCTCAGACTCTCATTCTGCAGTGGTTTTCCTCTCCTAAGGAGTCCAGGTCCCTGTGGGGTGGGCAGTCACCTGCCCCAAATCTGACTGCCAACTTGGCCACATGTGCTGACTGGCTGGAACATCCTACATTTGCCTTAGGATTGCTGCCCCCGGGTTTGTGCTGTAGTCTTTAGGCATGGGGGCTGGTTTGCGTGCCTCTTCCCTTTCTGACATTTGCCGCATCCTATAAGGCTTGGCTCTGAGCCAGGGTCTGGAAGGGCTCATGCTTGGCCCTGTGGCCAGAATTCCTCCTCCTCCTCCAAGTGGCTGTGTCATCGCTGCCAGGGACCCTTGGCACAGTGGCTTGCACTCTGTGGCTCAGGAATTTACATTGGGAGTCCCGGTCTGGTTTGGAGCCTTTGTAAGGATCAGAACCACATCTTGGACATTGAAATATGATCTCCATCCCTCAGCATGTGCTATAATGCCTGGCACCTGAGGTTTGTTTTTTGTTGTTGGGTGACTACTAGATTCAGAGGACACACATGAGGGTACAAATTTAGCTTCCAGAAGTTGGGGTGAGTGGATGTGGTGTGGAAATGGAGCTGGAGAGACTTAGCTGTAAGACTGCATATGGAGAAATTCTTTGTCTTCACAAGTTTTCCTGTGTTGTATCATCTCTTTGGCTCCCTTGTGCCCGTGTCACCTCACCACCATCTTCCTGCAGCTTCTCTGGTCTCTCACCTGTCTGGATGAAGGGTATGTGATCCTCAGACTGATACATGTGTGATTTTTATAACACGGATATGGTTTTATGTTCCTTTTTTTCTCACAAGAAAATGGTTTGATGTTTATGTAGAAACTTTATCCAGGAATAAACCCTAAGCATTGTTGGGTATGTCCCCAATGTCCCCACCTCACCCCCCCCAAATTTGGAAAATCGAAAGCAGAATCTATACAGAATCAAATAAGGCTGTGTTAAACTACCTTAGAAAAATTGTGGCTTGCACTAGCTTTAGACAAGTGGATTTAGGACAGATTCCTTAGAATTCCTGTGTAACTGTAACTGTAACTGTAACTGTTACTTTTGGATAGAAATGACCTTCTGAGGAAGTTACTTAGTTGTCTTTTGAGGGCTGAGAAACTGCTTCTAAGTGATTTAGCCAGGATGGCATGCTAAGATAGAGCAGAGCCAGGATTCCTGAGTTTGTGGTACCGTCCCCCAGCCAGCTGTTGGGGGGGGGGGAGTGTCATGCTTTATTTGTCTTCCACCCCCAGGGTTCACATTCTGGTTTGGTGCCTCGTATCTCCTCTGAGGCCCTGTGCAGTGGACCCGGTGGCCACCCCCAGCCCCCCGGCTCTATCTTATGCCCAGGGCAGAGCTGTTGTAAGCAGAAATGCGATCGATTCAGGTTAGGATCCAAATTTAGATTTCAGAAGGATATTGAAGAGAAGCAGGGTTGCTTGAAGAAATTGAAAACATGGTGGGAATGGAAGGAAGTCAAAATTACCTATATGAAGTCCTGGCCCCAGCCACACAGGCCACAAGCCTGGAATTAGAACTACCAGGAAGCCAACACCTTCCCCATCTGCTGGGCACCAGACTGGCACCCAGGGTATGGTGGTGAAGGCGGAGATGTGGATGTAGGTTTGTGGAGTGTGGGGGTTTAGTGCAAGAGGACTAGTATTGGGAAAGGTGGATATCAGACACCAGAGGTAACCCAAAGCCATGTCCTGTGTTCTGTCTGGGTACATAGGCCACAGAACAGGGTGGCACCAGCATTTCCTGTAGGCAGGGTGGGGACAGAGAGCCAGGGTGGATATTCACATTAAATTTCTTCCCAGAGATATTACAGAGGGTGGGCCCTTGCCTTGCACATCGCAGACCTGCGTTTGATCCCCA